AAAAAAGCCAATGAGATTTTGGCCTGCATCAATAGGAGTCTAGTGTCTAGATCTAGGGAAGTAATGCTAGCCCTCTATTCCACCTTGGTTAGACCACACCTGGAAATTGTGTCCAATTCTAGGCACCACAATTCAAGAGAGATTGACAAGCTGGAATGTGTCCAGAGGAGAACGACTCAAATGATCAAGGTTCTGGAGAACAAGCCCTGTGAGGAGCGGCTTAAAGATCTGGGTCTCTCTCTTCTGGACATGTACTATCTTGTCAATATAGAATCATATCGTTAGAAGAGACCACATGGGCCATCTAGTCCCACCCCCTGCCATGCAGGAAAAGCACAATCAAAGTACTCCTGACAGATGGCCATCTAGCCTGTTTAAAAGCCTCCAAGGAAGGAGCTTCCACCAGACTCTTGTGGTCAGGAAGTTCTTCCTAATGTTCAGGTAGAATCAGCATAATTATTTGTGCAATACCATTGGAATTGGCTTTGGATTGATGAATAGGATTATCTGGTTTTGGATCGATGTACAATAGTTGTCTAATATTTACGTAGGGTGGGGTAGAAATGTACTAAATAAATAGATAAATAAATAAATTGCTTCGAGTCCTAGTTTCCAGGGCAGAAGAAAACAAGCCTGCTCCCTCTTCCTTATGACACCCTTTCTCATATTTATACATCGCTATTATACATCAACCTTATCTTCTCCAGGTGCAGATCTTTAAGGCGCTCCTTCTTGAATTGTGGTGCTCAGATGAGGTCTGACCAAAGCCTTTAAATGCCATCTACATAATATTTGAATTATGGGCACCTTTTTTTGATATGGAGTCTCTTAAACAGATACATTTGAGGGCTAAAACCTATCAAAATCCATGAGTGGTAACTTTAGAAACTAAGCAGAGTCAACCCTGGCTAGTAATTAGATTACTATTGTAGTGTACCACAATTCTGGGCACCACAATTGAAGAGAGATATTGACAAGCTGGAATGTGTCCAGAGGAGGGCAACTAAAATGATCAAGGGTCTGGAGAACAAGCCCTATGAGGAGCGGCTTAAAGAGCTGGGCATGTTTAGCCTGAAGAAGAGAAGGCTGAGAGGAGATATGATAGCCATGTATAAATATGTGAGAGGAAGTCACAGGGAGGAGGGAGCAAGCTTGTTTTCTGCTGCCCTGGAGACTAGGATGGGGAACAACAGGGACATCTAATTACCTTTCAAGAAGAGTTTGCTCCAGGCACAGTCAGCCCATTGTATGCTAATCAGGGTGGTCAGTTGAAAGATTCCCACCTAGCCCAACTTACAAAAGCCCTTTGTCTCACCCTGGTCATTCCACAGATATATAAACCCTTTTTCCCAGTTCCAGCAGACCTCACCTCTGAGGATGCTTGCCATAGATGCAGGCAAAACGTCAGGAGAAATGCCTCTAGAACATGGCCATATAGCCCGAAAAAACCCACAAGAACTGAGGAAGAACTTCTTGACTATGAGAGCCGTTCAGCAGTGGAACTCTCTGCCCCGGAGTGTGGTGCAGGCTCCTTCTTTGGAGGCTTTTAAACACGGCTGGGTGGCTATCTGTCGGGGGTGCTTTGTATGCAATTTTCCTGCTTCTTGGCAGAATGGGGTCGGACTGGATGGCCCATGAGGTCTCTTCCAATGATTTTATTATTCTTTATCCTTTAAATAAAGGAGGACCTCAATAGGATTCTTTATATATTATTATTTATTTAAAACATTTATATCCCGATGTTCTCAACCTCCATAGAAGGACTCAGACCGACTTTACATATACCTTTCTTCACCTTTTAGCTCTCCCTAGACCTCTACTACACAGACGAGGAGATCTACGCACTCTCGTACGCCCGTGAGCCCCGCTGCCCAAAGACATTGGTAAGAGGATGAGTCAAGTCAATACCAGGAAACCAGAATAGTGAAACATCTATTTGAAGGACTTGCATCCCTTAAATGTGACTATTCTTCTTCTTTCTTCGCAGCCACCTGTACAATTCAAACCACCCATAGTGTTGGAGTGGGCGCCTGGAGTCACCCCCAGACCTGACCGCATCACCATCAAGAGGCATGTCCAAGAAATGGTTGAGGTATGAATGAAAAGCCAAAGATATGTGGTGTTGCTGGTTGTTAAAACAGTCTTAAAATAGGGTTGCTGTGAGTTTTCTGGGCCGTATGGCCATGTTCCAGAAGCATTCTCTCCTAATGTTTTGCCGACATCTATGGCAGGCATCCTCAGAGGTTGGGAGTCTTAAAACACCCTATTTGCTCAAATCTAATGCTCACCTTTTTGGTGGGCTAAATTACCTTGCCAAAATTAGATTTGCGTAATATGGTAATCTTAAGTGCTGAGCCAAAGCAAAAGGGAAAGTTGCTCCAGGAGCTTCTGGAGTTCCTATTTGAGGAATGTCACCACAAATATGATGGCCAGGGCTCAATGCTATGCACTGGACGAATTGACACCAAATTTGCACACAACACACCTAACAGTCCAACGAGTGTCCATCACCCCTAAACACACACACACACACAATCCCAGCGGAACAAACTTAAAACCCCCAAAATACACAATATATGCATATACACATACACTCATATACATATACACATGCACACATTCATACACACACACGTATATATATGCACAAACACAAATATACATACATATACACATGCACACACATATACATATACACATACATACACACATATACACACAAATATGCATATAGATAAGCACACACATATACACAATATGCATGTACACAAATAAACGCACAAATACACAAATATATACAGACATATATACATACATAGACATGCACAGATATATACACATACATACACACATATTCATATACACATAGATACACACACATACACACAAATATGCATATAGACAAGCACAGATATATACACAAGATGCATGTACATATATAAATACACAAATATATACAGACATATATATACATACATAGACATGCACAGACATATACATATACATACACACATCTTCATATACGCATTCATACACACATATACACACAAATATGCATATGGACAAGCACAGACAGATACACAAGATGCATGTACATATATAAATACACAAATATATACAGAGATATATATACATACATAGACATGCACAGACATATACATATACACATACATACACACATATTCATGTACACATTCATATACACATATACACACAAATATGCATATAGACAAGCACAGACATACACAAGATGCATGTACACATATAAATACACAAATACACAAATATATACAGAGATATACATACATAGACATGCACAGACATATACATATACACATACATACACACATATTCATGTACACATTCATATACACACAAATATGCATATAGACAAGCACAGACATACACAAGATGCATGTACATATATAAATACACAAATATACACAAACATATATATATATACACACACACACACACACATATATATATATACACACAAACACACATATATACACAAATATATACACACACATAACACATATACACAGACTGGGCCACAGCAATGCGTGGCAGGGGATGGCTAGTAGATATATAAATCCCATTTTCCTAGCTTCTAACAGACCTCACAACCTCTGAGGATGCCTGCCATAGATGCGGGCAAAATGTCAGGAGAGAATGCTTCTGGAACATGGCCATACAGCCCGGAAAACTCACAACAACCAAGTGGATAGAGCCTTGACTCTCCAGAAGTCTCAGGCAAAAGCAAACTAATGCATCATCTTGTGTTTTCTTCCTCATTAATATATTTTGCTTGACCGCACCCTGATGTTGCTTGTCTACATATGTATCTTCATATGTGAAATTTTAGTGAGTATGCAACATTTTTTGGGCCCGTGACAAATGTCATTTTTGCTGCCCTGTGGTCACTACCCAAGAGTTGTGTCAAGCCACACTGTTTGCCCAACATGCGTCATGGTCGTCCTGCTATTACAAGGGAGTGGTGTGGTTTTGTAGCTCATTTTTTTGGATGGTCTTCTGACCCCCGGCAGTGCGCATGGGGCCCCCTCAGCCCTGCCTTTTCCCGCTTTTCTCCTCCCCCTTCCACAAACGCACACCTCCTTCTGTGAAGGCAGAGGCTCAAATCCGACCACTTCAACCACTTCCTTTTCTAGAAATAACGTTTGCTGCCGAGACGAGCCCTGCGTGCTTTGTGGGGGAAGAGGCGGAAAGAGATACCACATACCCTTCACAGGTTTCACACAAGAGAACAACAAAGGAGTGGCTGAACATAGCTCTGCATTAAAGTTTGGGGGGCCTCATTTACCTTTAAGAAGGTGCATGGTTTTCAGGTCAACATTTCAAATCAAACCCAAAATGCACGTATCCAAACAACATCAGCGTGTGGTTATTTATTTTATTTATTTACAGCTTTTATATCCCGCCCTTCTCACCCCGCAGGGGACTCAGGGCGGATTACAGTGTACACATATATGGCAAACATTCAATGCCAATTTTGACATACAAACATACACAGACATACACAGAGGCTATTTAACTTTTTCTGGCCGCCAGGGGAGCTGTTGCTTTCATCGTCCATCTGCAACACTGATGAAGTACTTCCGCATTCCCCGCATGCTTCCCCGCTGGAATGCTTTGCTGGAGTCTTTTTATGGCCTCATAAATCAGTTAATTTAGCCTCCCCACACTTTAAGGTGGTACCTAATTTTCCTACTTGACAGATGCAACTGTCTTTTCGGGTTGCAAAGGTCGACAACAGGCTACACACAATTGGTTGGAAACCCACTCCAACCCAGCTGGCTTCAAACTCATGACCTTTTGGTCAGAGTGATCTTAATGCAGCTGACACTCAGCCAGCTGCGCCACAATCCCAGTGCTGGTTAGGATGACCAAAGGCAGTAATGAGGAAAAACGCACATCTAAGAGATTTTTTTAATGTATGGGATACAGTTAAAATGCATTTAAAAATGCGAAGTTTTAAAAACTTGGCATTATACTAAGTGTCCTTTGACCAGAAACTGGCCACTTGGGAGTCCCTCTGATGTCGCTGTGAGAAGGTCCTCCATTGTGCATGTGGCAGGGCTCAGGTTGCATTGTAGTAGGTACTTACTTGCTTAGGCGATCCCTCGTACTCCAAGGATGATGGTCCTCAAAGATCGGTGTCCTGGTGGTGGGTCCATAGGTGACTGTGGAGCCCTATTCTTGACCTGCATGTTCTCCCGCAGTGAGGGCATTGGTTTCCAGGTGGAAGGCGGTCCCTGTTGGGGTTGGCTTGATGCTCCTTCCTCTTGGCACGTTCCTCTCTTTTGCCCTCCATTCGTGCCTCTTCAAATTCTACAGCACTGCTGGGCACAGCTGATCTCCAGCAGGAGCACTCAAGGCTTCCCAGTTCTCAGTGTCTATGCCAGAGTTTTTAAGGTTGGCTTTGAGCCCATCTTTCAATCTCTTTTCCTGACCACCAACATTCCATTTTCCGTTCTTGAGTTCGAAGCAGAGCAACTGCTTTGGGAGACGGTGGTCAGGCATCAGGACAACGTGGCCAGTCCAGCAGTTGATGGCGGAGGACCATTGCTTCAATGCTGGTGGTCTTTTCTTCTTCTAGCACTCTTGACATTTGTCTGCTTGTCTTCCCAAGAGATTTGCAGGATTTTTCAGAGGTAGCGCTGATGGCATCGTTCCAGGAGTTGCATGTGGTGTCTGTAGACAGTCCATGTCTCGCAGGCGTAGAGCAGGGTTGGGAGGACAATAGCTTTATAAACAAGCACCTTGGTTTCCCTACGGATGTGTCTCAAACACTCTCTGCTTCATTCAGAAGAATGCTGCACTTGCAGAGCTCAGGCAGTGTTGTATTTCAGTGTCAATGTTGACGTCTGTAGACAGTCCACGTTTCGCAGGCATATAGCAGGGTTGGAAGGACAATAGCTTTATAAACAAGCACCTTGGTTTCCCTACGGATGTCCCAGTCCTCAAACACTCTCTGCTTCATTCGGAAAAATGCTGCACTCTCAGAGCTCAGGCCGTGTTGAATTTCAGTGTCAATGTTGACTTTTGTGGAGAGGTGGCTGCCAAGGGAGCAGAAATTATCAACATTTTCTAATGTTACACCATTAAGCTGTATCTCTGGCATTGGAGAGGGATTGGCTGGTGAGTGCTGGAAGAGCACTTTGGTTTTCTTGATGTTTAATGACAGGACAGGCTGCTCGTATGCTTCTATGAAGGCGTTTAGAGTGGCTTGTAAGTCTTTTTCTGAATGCGCACAGACAACGTTGTCATCAGCATACTGGAGTTCTATATTAGATGTTGTTGTAACTTGGTTTTGGCTTTCAGTCTGCTGAGGTTGAATAGCTTGCCATCTGTCCGATAGATGATTTCCATTCCAGTGGGAAGCTTCCCGTCAACAAGATGAAGTATCATAACAGTGGCATAACAGAAGAGTATGAGCAAGCCTTATAGATGTTTTCCCATTTGTGATCTTCTTTGCCCCCCTCATTTTCTTTGCTTACTTCCTCCATCAGACTGTATTCAAGAATTATGATCCTGAACAACGGGGTTGCATCTCTCAAGAGGATTTTGAAACTATCTCTACAAGTTTCCCCTTCTCCTTCTACGGGCTTGAAAGAGACCGGTAAGGGTTAAACCTTTGGAAAGTCACTAAAAAGCTTTATTTAGGGTGTGATAACAACTTTTGGGGAGTCAGAAACTTGAAGCTTATTGAGACCTCTCAACAAGTCATCTTGTGTAAGGCGATCGAGTCGTTTCCAGAATCCTCTCCAAGACAAATTTCAGCAAACTCGGTCTGAGTAAGAAATTCAGCAAGCAGATGGGCTACCTTGGAGAGGACTCTCCATTGCCTGCAAAAAGGGCCTAGATCTAAATAATTCAGGGTCAAGCCTCATTGTGTCTTCTCTTTCTCTCTGCACAGTGAAGGAGCCTGGAGTCGGGAAGAGTTGGCCGAGTACTTCATGCGAGCCTGTGCCATCGTCTCCAAACTTGGTCTTGGCTACCTGCATGATTTCCACGAAGCCACCTTCAAGAAGCCCACTTTCTGTGACAGCTGTAATGGTTTTGTAAGTTTACAATTCCTCTCCCTCCTTTGCCATCAAAATGCCTATAGTTTCCAACATGAAAGCAATGGCTAGCAATACTAGCATCTCCTAGAATGCTGTGGAAATTATGCTGCTGGGATCCAATTCTTGTGGTTGGCCTTAAAGCTATCAGTTTAAAAGGTGTCCTTGCTCTTGTATTTGCCCAGAAGTTACTGGAGGTGACCAATGGCAAAAATGACTGAAACTACCATATATACTTGAGTATAAGCCAAGTTTTTCAGCCCTTCTTTAAGCTGAAAAAGCCCCCCTTGAGTCAAAGTTATTTATTATTTTACTGTGTTGTTATTATTATTACATGCATTATTGTTCTCCTAGCCCCCCTAGACTTATACTCAAGTCAAAGTTATTTATTATTTTACTGTGTTTTTATAATTATTATTACATGTATTATTTTTCTCTATTTATTATTGTTATTATTACATTTATTTTTTCCTCTACTATTGTTATTATTACATTTCTATTATTTTACTCTATTATTATTATTACATTTATTATTTTTCTCTATTTATTCTTATTACATGTATTACTTGTCTCTATTATTGTTATTAAATTGATTCTTTTACTTTAATATTACATTTACATTACTTTACCCTATCTATTGTTATTATTACATTTATTATTTCACTCTATTATTATTATATTTATTATTTTACTCTATTTTTATTATTACATTTCTATTATTTTACTCTATTATTATTACATTTATTATTTTACTTTATTTATTATTATTACATGGATTATTTGTCTCTAGTATTATTATTACATTTATTATTTTACTCTAATATTATTACATTTACATTACTTTATTGTTATTATTACATTTATTATTTTACTCTTTATTATTATATCACAGTTACATTACTTTACCCTATTTATTGTTATTATTACATTTATTATTTTTCTCTTCTTAGTACATGTACATTACTTTATTATTATATTTATTATTTTACTCTATTTTTATTATTACATTCATTTTTCTTCTATTATTGTTATTATTACATTTCCATTATTTTACTTTATTATTATTATTAAATATATTATTTTACTCTATTATTATTACATGTATTATTTGTCTATTATTGTTATTACATTTATTATTTTACTCTAATATTATTACATTTACATTACTTTATTTATTGTTATTATTACAATTATTATTTTACTCTATTTATTATGAATAATAATACATTTACATTACTTTACCCTATTTATTGTTGTTATTACATGTATTATTTTACTCTATTATTACATTTATTATTTTTCTCTTATTATTATTACATGTACATTACTTTATTATTATATTTATTATTTTACTCTATTTTTATTATTTCATACATTTTTCTTCTGTTATTATTATTACATTTCCATTATTTTACTCGATTATTTTTATTAAATTTATTATCTTACTCCATTTATTATTATTACATTTATTATTTGTCTCTCTTATTGTTATTACATTTAATATTTTCCCCTATATTATTATTACATTTACATCACTTTACTCTATTTATTATTATTAAATTTATTATTTTACTCTATTGTTATTACATTTACATTACTTTACCCTATTTATTATTATATTTATTATTTTACTCTATTGTTGTTATAACTACATTTATTATTTTACTCTATTATTATTACATTTACTATTTTTCTCTTATTATTATTACATGTACATTACTTTACTTTATTATTATGTTTGTTAATTCACTCTAATATTATTGTTATTGTTACATTTCAATTATTTTACTCTAGTATTATTATTTTTATAACATTTATTACTTTACTATTTTTATTATTATTGGAAGGACACGTAAGCACATTTACATTGAAGAAGGTTAGAATAATGGTTTAATCAAAGTTGGGGAGTCTTATCTTAAATTACAGTTTTATGTAAATATTCAAAAACATTTAACCTACTGATGCCTCAATTAATGTAATTTTATCGGTATCTATTTTTAAATTGACCAGTAGCAGCTGCGTTTACTAGACTTGTACTCAAATCAATACGTTTTCCCAGTTTTTTGTGGTTAAATTAGGTGCCTCGTCTTATATTTGGGTCGGTTTATATTTGAGTATATACGGTAATCCATGGATTTATTTTTTCTAGCTCTGGGGAGTCTCCAAACAGGGATATCGATGTCGAGGTAAGCACGCCCTCTACTGGAAACGAAAGAGTGATGCAGTAATACTTCCAAATAAATCTGCATATTGCAAAGCCTGTATTATTTACTATACCCATATGCAAGCCATTTGTGGCATCCTTTTGCATGGGGAGGAAGGCCCAATCTCTGATGTAGTTTGGGTGAGGACAGGGGCACAAACCTGCTTATCTTCCAATGCAATCGGATTTTTCTTTTGTTTGCTTCCAGACTGTGGCATGATCTGTCACAAGCAGTGCAAAGACCAGGTGGAAGTCGAATGCCAGCGGCGCCTCCACTCCTGCACCTCCAATGGCACCACGCCACGCGCTGCCACACCAGCAGCCACCTCGACGCATCCCTCTTGCTCTGGTAACGAGTCCACAGGCAAAGATAATAATAATAATAATAATAATAATAATAATAATACTTTATTTGTACCCCGCTACCATCTCCCCGGGATGGCTCACTGGAACAGCTCCTCCTGAAGACTGCCAGAGTTGGAGCCTGTCTGATGTCTTTAGGGAGTGAGTTCCAGAGTTGAGGGGCCACCACCGAAAAGGCCCTCTCTCTCGTCCCCACCAATCTCCAGGTTGGGACTATAGCTGCAACACATCTGAGAATGCCTGCATTATCTCATGAACAGCAGGAATGAAGAAAAAGGTCCTGAAATGGTAGCATTTCAAGATAGGACAGAAAGAATGCCCCAAAAGGTTGGTTCTGCATCTTGTGGTGCCAGAGCGGAGTCTGTACCCCGCTACCGTCTCCCCAAGGGACTCGGTGCGGCTTACATGAGGCCGAGCCCAAACACAACAATACAAGCAATAATAACAATACAAGCAATTAAAAAGCATAGACAAGAAAATACACAACATTATCAATAAAACAACACATAATTAAAAACAGTGGGAAGGCCAAATGTAGAGTTAAAATTGGAAATAATGCTGGGACATGAACGAAGGCTGTATTAGAAGGCGGTATTTCACACATAATAATCATAATAATAATAATAATAATAATAATAATAATAATAATAATAACTTTATTTGTAC